CTTATTAACATTAGGGAAATCATACATCAACATTAGGTGGGATGCCGATAAATACTTTTCAACTTATTAACATTAGGGAAATCATACATCAACATTAGGTGGGATGCCGATAAATACTTTTCAACTTATTAACATTAGGGAAATCATACATCAACATTAGGTGGGATGCCGATAAATACTTTCAACTTATTTTACTCCCATACATCACACAAGACAATTTTGAAAAACAATGGGAAACATTTGTCCCAGTCACAGTAAGAGGGGGTGGGAGCACTGGGAAATGTACATCCCAGTTGCAGTATGAGGGGGTGGGAGCATTGGTAAGTATACGTCCCAGTTGCAGTATGAGTGAGTGGGAGCACTGGTAAATGTACATCCCAGTCGCAGAATGAGTGAGCAGGAGCAATGATAAGTATATGTCCCAGTTGCAGTATGAGTGAGCGGGAGCAATGATAAGTATATGTCCCAGTCACAGTATGAGTGAGTGGGAGCAATGATAACTATATGTCCCAGTTGCAGTATGAGGGGGTGGGAGCAATGGGAAATATATGTCCCAGTCGCAGTGAAAGGGTTAAACAAATTTTTACAAAAAATTTATCTTTCTTTTTTAACATCTCTAGATTGTACAGTTGTTTTTTAGATGTTGTAATTATAATGAACTTACTTTCTGAACATCGAATGCCCATCCAGCCAGGAGCACATCGACAAACTCCATCATTACTGCGACAGAGCCCTTCATTGAGACAATTACACTTCTGGCTGCAGCCGACACCAAACATCCCATCGGGACAAGCTGATAAGATAAAAGTTGAGTCTTTAATGCATGCGTAACAACAAACACACCACAGTAAATGAACAAATTAATCTTATGTGATGCATTTATTTCAATTAGTATACTGCTCTCAATTGTGACGAGTGATCATACTGTAATGTTGATAATAAGAAATTAGAATGAAAATTAGAAATTCAAATTATTTTATTAGAGCTAGCATTCTACTCACTTCAGCAGCCATCATTAGGCTTAAGTGGGTCCAAAAGTGGTTCGATTAATTAATTAACAAATTAATCTTTTTTATGTGATGCATTTATTTCAATTAGTATACTGCTCTCAATTGTGAAGAGTGATCATTCTGTAATGTTGATAATAAGAAGTTAGAATGAAAATAAGCAATTCAAATTATTTTATTAGAGCTAGCATTCTACTCACTTCAGCAGCCATCATTAGGCTTAAGTGGGTCCAAAAGTGGTTCCAATAAGACGCAAATATTTTTTCTTTAAAGAATTTTCATTATAGTTTGCTTCCAAGTCATCTGTTATTCTAAATGTCTGAAAATTCTAGTCTGATAGAATATATTATCATGTTCTATCAACTACGAACAACGCACATTACTCAAAATGTTATATAGTAAATAAAAACTCCAGTCTGATTAGGAAGTATTACTAACATTTTGTTTTAAGTGAGTCAGTTTGACTCACCTTGGATGCGTGTGATACTATACATATTCTACCTCTACAGTTACTAAGTGTATCTTCAGAAAAAACAAAATACTGCGAACTGTATTGTTTGTTATGGTATAAGAGTGTTACTGAAACTTACGAATAGAACAATCATTTCCTGTCCATCCCGGTAAACAGAAACACTTTCCTGTAATAGGGTCACATTCTCCGCTGTTCTTACAGTTACATATTTGTAGACAGTCTACTCCCCAAAAGCCAGAAGGACAAGCTAAGTAATAAAAATAAATTTTCTTACAAACAAATACTACTACCCATTTCATTTAAAGTGATGGATAAGTAGTATACTACTTCTAATCACACAGTGCTAATAAAACAATAAATCACAATTTGTTGATTCATCTTAAACATATATTACTTATACTGTAATCCCAAACTCTTCACCTTGAGAGCATGTTGACCCTGCATATCCAGGAAGACAGAGACAACGTCCAGTGATGTGGTCACAGCCTTTCCAGGCATGTACGCAAAGCGGACACTTTTCTGAACACATGTAACCAAAGAAACCAGGGGGACATTCTGTGAAAAGAAAAACATATCATCAGACAGTGTGTATGTGTATTTATATACAGACACACACACAGCACAAATAAACACTAGAAATGTAACAATAGCAATACAGATGACAGTAATAGATAATAATACCACTGAACCATTGTAGTTCTAAAAATGGAAACTAAAACATGCTGGAAACTATAATATAACTATTTATTTCCAGGATACATAAGCAGAAGCACGCAATCAGTGTATTCGACAACAAATAAACCCTAACCCGAGATTCATAATGATAATAATTTGTATATCATTATTCTTCACTACACAAAGACCATACAGTGTTGTCACTATATCAAAACTGTGTAAAAATGATCTAGATGTTAACCTGATGACACATTACAACTGTGTAAAAATGATCTAGATGTTAACTTGATGACACATTACAACTGTGTAAACATGATCTAGATGTTAACCTGATGACACATTACAACTGTGTAAACATGATCTAGATGTTAACTTGATAACACATTACAATTGTGTAAACATGATCTAGAGCTGTATGTTAACTTGATAACACATTACAACCATGTACAAATGATCTAGATGTTAACTTGATAACACATTACAACTG